AGAGTCCAAATCCGGCAAATCGTTTTGGAAAACTTATTTTTTAGAAAGAAGTGCCAAACATGGACTGCTTTACCAGATACAGAGTCGCCACCTAAATATTTTATTTTGAGAGAATTTAGGAAACCCTGACTCGTACCTAAGGCCACATGTCCGTCATCACCAAAATTGCCTCGGCTTGGGAACTTGGGTACGATTGGAGAAGGTCAGTTATGAGCACCCCCACTCGCCTGATCAAAAATCGGCCTGTACTAAATATGATATCTCGTTTTTGAAAACACATGCGTTCTTATTCCTGTTAATTCGCTAGAATTACTATGTGATGCGCACAGCAAAACAAGTATAGACTAGATCGCCTAATTTGGAACAAAGCATCGCATATCCGTTTGTTTAGAAAATGGTTTGAAGTTTGCTACTCATAAGTAGGCTAAAATACGGATTTCAATGAATTATTCCAATTTAAGTAATCCAACCTTCACCCATAGGTATTCAGGCAGTTAAACACTTAAGCAAATAGCCTCATGGCAAGCATGCTATCATAACAACACTCACACACATGCAGTATGCTAAAGCATAAACACTCACAGTGTACTCCAAGCCAGAACAGAAACTAGTTAGTAATCAATGCATGATCCTAGTTCATGTTAAGATGGCTAATGCAACACATGCAAAATGCAACTAGAAATAGGCTCGGCTATTCTAAAATGTCATAGGAAATGCGACATTTTGATAACATGTATTCAAATTGGAATTGAAGTACAATGCGGTTAGTATGATGGGTCGAGCCCGGTGCATGCAAGATAGATGAATGTATGCAAACATGCAAAGCATAAGGATGCTAGACAGATGAATGGATGCAAACATGCAAAGCATAAGTATGCTAATTGAAAATGACCTAGAACTAACCATCAAAAGCAGGAAAGTAAAAGGGAGAAAGAAATGGAGGTTGGAAGACATGCACACATGCACGCACACTTATTACAAAATTGGCCCTCTCGATAGAGGGTCCGAATAAATAATACAAACCGACTAATTAACTAACTAACAAGCTAATTAATTATTACATAACCGAAAGAATAACTAGCTACAACTAATTATTACATCACTTAATTAATTAACAAATTAATTAATTACAAAACCAAATGCTAACTAACAAGTAAGAAATTAGACAATGCTACCTCGGCAAGTTGAAGAAGGCGAACATGCATGCTCGGTTCCTGTCTCGGTAAGCTCTCTGGTTGCTCTTTAGAGGCTCTGTCTGTAGGGTGTCCGTGAGACCTTACTGCTGGAACTTACCAAAACTAGTCCGGGGAATGCATCAGTGGCCTGTCGGCCAGAGAGAGATGCTGCCGACCACCTGCTGGCCAAAGATGAGGGACTGTCGGCCATCTGTAGGGCACTGCCAGCCAAAGATGAGGGGCTGCCGGCCATCTGTAGGGCACTGTAGGCCACTGATGTGCTGGGACACCAAGCTGCAGCAGAGCACAAAATAGAGAAAAATGAGGGTCTCCCAAGGATATGTACGCGCTATGCCACCCCATATCACCTCAAAACATCAAGGGAGAGGCATAGTCGAATCCAAGACCATCAATCACGCATCCTGATGCATGATAGCCAAAGATCCAACTTGTGCAAATCAATATGAAATGAATGCACAAATAAACACATAAAGCCTAGAACTCTATCATGGATAATCAAGAGCATCGGTGACCGAGAATTGAGACACGTTTCATCACTTGAAGTATGAAATATTCCTCGTTTCTCGTGCTCAGATTAACACTTAATCCAAATAACAATGCAACATAAGCATGGCAAACATGCGACTCAAGCAAGCAAACATGCAATACAATATGAACAACCTAACAAGGCTAATGGAATGCAACAACATATGATATAACAAGCATGCAACAATATGCAAAGATGGAGCAAGCATACGACAATATGCAAGACAAGCATGCAACAACATGCAAGGATGGTCTTAAACCAATATGAGCAGACCTCAACTATGCCCAAATCAGTGGCCATAAGTTGTTGAATTGGTGGTACAAAATGCTAGACAAGCATGCATGCCAATAGGCCCAAGAATTAAGGCATAGAAATGCAACTCTTAAGCACACTTGAGGAGTGAAAAGCATGCAAGTATGACAATACTACATGCTTTGAAATGATGTTAGGAATGATGCCAAATCACACACATAACACAAGCATAGCATGCATGAAGCTCAAAAGCTAAAAACTAGCAAAGGGACTTAAGCCATGGCCATACAAAGCTAGCCCCAAAGGGCTAAGGGAACCTAAAATAATCTCAAGGAAGGTCCAAACAAGACCAAAAACAAGCTCGAAGCTAGCCAACACAAGCTAGAACACAAGACCAAAAATATGGAACATGCAAGGCTACAAAAGAGGCAATGCACTACACCTATTGAAACCAAGCATGGCATGACTTGGACAGCAAAAAATAGAGTTACATCATGGTATAACAAGACCAAAAATGCACTGATATGATGAGCCAAAGGCTTAGGCTTTATGGCATTCACAAAAGTTCATTCTTGAGACGTAAAGAGCCAAGCCTCCAAGGCATTAAAAGCATGTCAAATGCAAGTGTATGGCCACATTTCATGGGCTGAAATAACGTTTAGAATGATGGCAAAGCATGCAAACATCACATGTATGGCATGGTAGGGGCCTCAAAACCCAAGGCTAGCCTAAGCATTTGTACTATAGCTATATAAAGTATGAGTGATATGGCCATGGCAGCCCAAGAAAGTGTTAAAACACCTCAAAATAAGAACAAAATCATGCTGGAGCAAAGCCAAAATATGCTAGGATGATGAGTCAAAGCATCATGCATATAAAGCTAGTAAGCAAGATTTGTTCTACAAGTATATGGAGCATGCAAAATACGACAAAACCAGCAAAAGATAGAGTCATGACATGCCAAATAATAACCAAATACATGCTAAAATGGACTGAACATAAGCTAAGATGACATGCTAAAGCAAGAAGCATATAAAGCTAGTTTATGAGATTTACACTACAAGTGTATTGCACATGTATGGAGTGACAAAGCCAACCCAAAACAGATCTAAGCCATGGTAAACCATCACCAAAAACCTACTGAAATGGACTCAACACAAGCTAGGCAAACATGCTACTTTGATGAGCTACAAATGGGATTACACTACACATACAAGATGCATGCAAAAGGTGACCAAACCAGCCATGGACAAAACCAAGGAAATTCCTAAAAGTCACAAAAAAGGGCCTGAACCAAGCCTCAAAAGTACAGAGAGGCATGCTCCTTTGGAAGGCCAAAAATGCAAGCAAACAAAACCCAAAAGAGATGGGGCCACCCCCTCTGATTTGAGGCCTCAAAACCACATGCCTACCACTAAAAATCCACTGGATTTAAGTGGTTAGAAGGCCAAACCAAGGCTAGCTCAGAGGCCTTAAGGCATGTCTCAAAACAAGGCCAAACAAGGCCAACAAGAGGGTTGAAGACCTTCAACAGCCAAAAGACCTTAAACAACCACCAAAAGCACTTAAATACAAGACTTTTTTCAGTTGAAAGCAAGGCCTAAAACAATATGCAAGGATGGCCAAAATGAGGTACAAAAAAAGTGCTAAAAAGAAAGAAATACTCACCCTTGAAGATTAGCTTCGAAACTAGCAACCTCAGGGGCCAAAAACTCACTTTCAGAGCTCAAGAAGTCCTCCCAAGAACCTTAACCCAAAGATGGTGGTGTATCTCTAAGTGTTGTAGTGTAAAAGTGCAAGGAAAATGAACTTCAAGGCACAAATGAACAACAATATAGAGAGAGAGACAGAGAGAGAGAGAGAGATTTCTTCTCAAAAATGTTGAACCTCTGCTAAAGAGAGAGGCTCTCTCCTTATATAGAAGAAAAGGAATGCAAAGCTTCTTCAAGAAGCTTGGCAAGAGCTTCATCCCTCCATACATGGGTATGGAGGGCAGATAAAAGGATTCCAGCAGGCTCAAAAGATCTAGAGTGAAACCTGCTGAGACAGGGGTGCTGCCGGCCATCAGGGATGGCCGGTAGCAACAAAGTAAAGGCCGGCAGGGCCAAAAGGTGGCCGGCAGTGCACCAAGTAACACATTCTGAAAGGACCAAGTCATGGTCCAAGAATGGGGCCGAAAGGATACAGGGTTTGGAAAGCTCGAACCTGTGACGTTCCACCGCAAAAGTTGAATACCCGACGAGCAATCGAACTTGTGTCCGGATGTACCTGCAAGCAGAACCGAGTCTTGAGGACGGTCAAAAATGGGGTGTCTACAAATACCCTACCAATCCCATAAAACTCTGGACTTTTGTCACATTTATTGGTGTAGGCCAATTCACAATTGCCTCAATCTTTTGCAGATCCAACAAAATTTCATCACATGCCCTAAAACACAATTCCATCTAACCAAAATTCACATTTCTTCAGTTTTGCATATAGTTTCTTCTCTCTAAGTGTTTGTAGAATAGTTCTCAAATGTTGTTCATGTTCTTCTCTACTTTACGAATAAATCAAGATGTCATCAACAAACACAACTACAAACTCATCAAGATAAGATTTGAAAATTCTATTCATTAGGTCCATAAAAGTTGCAAGTGCATTTGTAACTCCAAATGGCATTACTAAAAATTCGTAGTGTCCATACCTCATTCGAAATGTAGTTTTCTTAATGTCTTTAACTTTCACTTTCAATTGATGGTACTCGGATCTCAAATCATTTTTCGAAAACACTTGCGAACCTTGTAACTAATCAAATAAGTCATCAATTCGGAGTAAGGGGTATTCATTCTTAATTGTTACCTTATTCAATTCTAGGTAATGAATGCACAATCGAAATGTTCTATCATTCTTCTTTACAAATAGAACTAGTGCATCTATGACGAAGTACTAGGTCGAATAAATCCCTTGTCAAGAAATTCTTGCAATTGAATTTTCAACTATTTCATTTCTGCTATTCACATTCGATATGAGGTCTTTGAGATAGGTTAAGTATCCAACATGACTTCAATTGTAAACTCAATTTCTCGATTAATCAATTCCCCTGGCAATTCTTTCGGTAACACATCTAGAAATTCTTTAACTACTAGAATAGTATCCAAAGTAGCATCTATACATTGAACATTCAAAACAGTACATAGATAACCCTGACATCCCATCTTAAGTAGTTTACATGCTTTCATTGCCGAAATTGAATAGGATGGAAGTACTACACTATTACCCTCAAACAAAAACTCATCTTGTCTCAAAGGTCTAAACAAAACTCATTATGTTACATAATCAATGGTAGCACAGTATTTAGGCAACCAGTATATTCCCAAAATCACATCAAAATGTCTCATATCAAAAAGTAGGAAATTCATATATGACATAGCATTCCCAACAAGAATTTCACAGGCAGGATATGTAGATGTACACAAAACAGATTCTTCCGATGGTGCAGATACACATAACACATAATCTAATGATTCCATAGGCCTATTCAATTTATAAGAAAATAAAGTAGAAACAAAGGAATGTATTGAACCCGAGTTAATTAACACATACATCTTTATTGCAAATAGAAAAAGTACCTAAGACAATGGCCTCAGTATTCTGAGTATCCCTTTAGATGAGTGCAAAAACTCTCCCTTGCCTAAGTGTAACTCTTGTAGCAGCAAGTTTTGCAGTATTTACTGGCATAGGAACTGATTCGGTTGAACTAGCAGCTGGTTTGCTACCACTTTATTCATTTTGAGGACACCATGTGACCCATTTTACCACATCTAAAACAAGCCCCAGAAGTACGGTAGCAGACTCCTTGATGTTTCATACCATATTTAGTACATGTCGGTGCCATATCCCTCATAGAATTGGAAGCATTTGATGTTTTCAAGTTTTGCTTCTTAAAAGATGCCGATCCCTTGTTTGAATAAGTGCCTTGCTTCTTTCCTTTCCATTTAAATAGTCAATTTGTGTGAAGCCATATTTGATTCAGACATCAGAGCCATGTCTAACCCATCCACATACTTTGACAATATTAGAACATTCACCTTCTCTTCAATTGAACTTCAAAGTCCGCCTTCAAATTTCCTCGCCTTTTTATAGTTAGTGTCAACCATGTGCAGTACAAATCTAGCCAACTCAATGAATTAGGCCTCATATTCAACTATTGTTTGATTGCCTTGTTTCAACTTTTCGAACTCAAACACTTTTCTGATCCCAGATGCATTGTGGGAAGTACTTTTCATAGATGACTTCAAGAAACTGTGCCCAACTGATTCCTTTATTCTCATCCCTGATCAACATCCACCATCTACGGGCTTCACCTTCTAAAGTAAATGCTGCTAGCAAAACTTTTTGTGCATCAGTGCATGAAAATGCCTTATATAGCTTTTCAATGCCAAGTACCCAGCCTTGGCTTTCAGAGGATCAACTCCTCCCAAAAACAATGGCGGTTTCATCTTTTTGAACTCCTTCGCTAGAGCAATGGTTTAATCATCTGCTTGATGATCTTGCATCAGAGGTGGTATGAGAATTAGTGGTGGTGGTGGCGATTGTTGTTGTTGTTTCCTTAGCATTTCGGCCATGTCCTGAATCATTCTTCACATTCTATCCAAACCGACGATAGAAGATTCTTCTATTTCATTAGCACTTGTTCTCACCATGATCTATATAAACTCATATTATAATAAACACGGATATTTGCACATACACACTTACGCATTCTTTCACTTATTCACATATTCACATACTCACATACTCGATTATTCACAATGCACACAAATCATATATTTGTTAAATGAATGCATCCTTAAGTCTTTTCTAGACACCTTAATGCTCATTTGGACAAGTGTGTGAGTTATTAACTCCTACTCTAACACCACTATGTCACAACCCGACCCCGCTCCTAGAGGTTTGGATTATAACTAGCCAGTAATCATGAGATTACCTATGGCCTCAGATAGAATTTCAAAACATAATTAAGCATACGAGGCCAGAAGCGGAAGCACATAATGATATAATTTGTCTAACAAGCTGTGCATACATGACATATTGGAAAACTTGTAAGTTAATAACCCACGTTCAGCATAAATTTGTACAAACATATATTCATTATACATTACCTCTTAACTACAAATATTCAAAGACTTACACATAAGAGTACAATTCATCAACTTACAAAAACGTAAAACTCTTTTAAACAAAACATGGTCAAACATGACCAACAAAAATAAAAATACAAAAGCCTCATCCGAGAGGCACTCCATGGCTGACATCCCAAAACTTGGGTAACCTTCAACATCTCTAAGGCTGGACATCCTACTGCTCACCTATTGATTAGTAGTTGTTCAATAAAAAATAAAGAACTAAACAAAGCACTAATTAAGTAGAACAATGGATTGTCCAGGTATCGTATCACGAGGACTTTGGGTTGAGTTATATTAATTCAAATGGTAATTGTTAATTTCATTTGAAGAATAGAGGATGATTTGGTTTTTGCTAAGGAGAATTTAAATGAAAACTAAAATAATTGTGTAAATAAATAGAGTAATCTGAATATGGAGAGAAACTTAGGATTTCAAATCCACTACTAATCTTATATTAGGTAATAAAAATATCTAATTCTAGTAAATCAATAGCCCATATAATAATGATGTATCGTGGCTACAAGCCCCAATACCATCGTCAAGAAGATGAGTATATTCAAAACGTGGGCAGGAATTATCTTCAGTCGGCAGGAATCATCTATACTAAACTACGGCTGCAGCACGATTTGTCTCCCCTAAGCATGACTCGTCTCATGATTTGTATATACAAGAAAATAAAATAGTTGTATGATCATGCATTCTCAATCACAGAAATTGAATACATAAATTGAATGAAAATATTATTTGAATAAAAGATTTAAAAACAATCATACAACGATTATCCAATTCCAAAGACAAACAAAAATTAAAATACAAAATTACATGATACTTGATTAGAGCCTCATCTCAATCCTAAGAAGAAAGCTTAGCCGCTCAGGGAGAGGTTGAACACTTTGAATGTTGAAGAGAAAGCCATAGATTGATGATTTGCTCTGTTTCTCTAGCTTCTAGTTCTCTTCATGGATTGATGATTTGACTACTTTGAAAAGACTGACATGTCAAAATCTGACAAGCCATATTTCTAAGTCACTTGACTGACTTTGACTTATTTCATTACTACCAAATCCATGAGCAAAACAAATGTTCAGTAAGCTAGTTTGTTAATTGGCATTTCATTGCATCCACTATGCGTCTAGTGGCATTTCCTTCACAAGCGCTGTCATGCCCCCAAATACACAATAGATACAATCCAAATCATTCATTAATAATGGCATAAGTCAGAGTAAATAGTCCATTCATTACATGAAGTTTTTTTTTGGGTGAATAAGACATAGATAAAAGAAAAACAGAGAATACACAGCTACAAGGGGCATGCCCCAGGACCTAACAGAAACTATACAAGAACAAAAACAGGAGCCCAACACCTACCAAACGAAACTCAAATAAAAGGCTCAAAATGAGAAAGAAAATTACAGCAAAGCATATAAATGTATACCCCAAAAAATATGTTTATGACTCGCATACCATCGAATGAGGACCATGAACACATCCAGAAACAGTCCAAATCTGTGGAACGGCAAAACCACAAAGCCAACAGAAACTAATAGCACACATATCCAAAAGCCAAAAACGAACAAAAGCCATGCACAGCCCGCACGGATAGGCCAAAAGGAAAAAAGACACAGCAAACAACTAAGGTTCAGACACAGCCCAATTAACATAAAGAAATGAAAGACAGTGCTAAACAAAGGCGCTTCCAGCAGCCAACACACCAACCCAGTAGACATCCCACCCAATCTGCCCAGCAGAGGAGTATCATCACAGCCACAGCCATCAGACGAATAGCATATATCCCTATCCAGACAGCCACCGCAGTGCTTAAACATTGTAATAAACCCTGCAGAAACAATCAAAAATGAGTACGTCCAGTGGTAACAAGGACAGAACATAGCAACAGTACACTCAATGTAGGAACTCTCATGACTCGGCCCACACTTTAGGGGCTCACACCACTCAAAATTAGCATCCTTAACCTGCACATAAAAATTTACAGTATATATAGGCATTAGCAAAAATTTTATGGCTAACATCACTCGACCCACATGAAACTGGAAAAAATGTAAAGTAACTCTCATCACTTATCCCTCAAGGATAGATAGCTCCACTTGAAACACCAAATTTCACCTGCAAAAAACTCAAATACATAAAGCCCTCATATAAGCTCACCATCACTCAACCCACATTTAGTGAACTCACATCACTCAGCAGCCCTCCCATTTCTGATGCTATGGGGCTTCAAAATTGTCTCCGGCAAATTCCATTGATCTAGAAACCATCTGTCACCAGTGGATCTAGGAATATTCTTAATTGACAACATTCTATTTCTAACCATTTGGATAACAGATTTAATGACCACCTCTTCAGGTTTGAGTTCTTTGTTAAAAATTCTATTATTTCTTTCAATCCAGATAAAGTAAACAGAGCATAAGAATGCATTACTAATGATGTTGACCCTCAAAGAGTTACCTTTGGTCTCCTTAGTAGCAAAAGTAACACTGTCAGGCCAACCAAGAACAGGCCACTTAATGTTACAAGCAGCTTCAATGGCACTCCAGACTCTGCTAGAGAAGATGCACTCAAAGAATAAGTGCGAATGGCTTTCCTCCCGGATGAGGCAAAAAGGGCATTGAGAGCTAGTGGTCAAGCCAAACATACGGAGTCTATCACCAGTATAAAGTTTATTGTCAAGAGCCACCCAAACAATAAAGCTGACTTTAGGGATTCTATGAGGGCCCCACACAAGCTTATGCCAAACCACTTTATCGAATTTCTTTCTCCAATGATTCCAAGCTGATTGAATGGAAAACTTACCATCAGTGGTAAGATTCCAAAAAGCTTGATCAGTGCTGGAAGGATTGGGATGAAAACACACAGGAGTAGAGGAGATTAGCTCCTGAATTTCCCAAGAGTTGGGAGTAGGCCACTTCCAAGAAGACCCATCAATGATTTTACTGACTTTTGTTTCACTGTTAAGGGCAGAATCATAAATAATTCTATCCCCGAATTTGTTCCACAATGGACCAAGAGGCTACCAATTATCATACCAAAGGAAAGTAGCATCCCCACACCCAATCTTATGCTTAATCAGAGGGGAAACCCACTTCCAAAGAGACAATAATTTTCTCCACACCCAAGAAGGATCATTAGGAACCTTAACTTTCCAGAAACTCTTCCCCTTTAATAAGTAGGATTTGACCCACTGACACCACATCGATCCCTCACCCCCAGAAAACAAAAACCAAATGTGTTTAGCTATGGCCGCTTTATTCCAAATATCTAAAGATTTAAAGCCCAAACCTCCCTCATTTTTAGGAGCACACACAGAATCCCAAGCAATCTTGGCACTATGAGTTTTAAGATCAGTACCAGACCAAAGGAAGGCTTTAAGAATACTATCAATCTCCCTAATGACCTTCTTGGGAAGAATGAAAAGGGAGGACCAGTACACTTGCATAGAAAAGAGAATGGATTGAATGAGCTGGCTTCTACCAGCGTAAGATAAAGCTCTATTGGTCCAACTCTTCACTCTTTTGGTAATCCTATCAATGAAAGGACCACAATCAGCAGCCCTCAACTTAGTGGTAATTAAAGGGACACCAAGATACCTAACAGGCAGAGTACCTTCATTAAACTTAGCAATCTCAAGAATAGAAGCTCTCAACCCCATATCACAACCAGAAAAGTAGATGTTGCTTTTGCTGGGATTAGGAATTAGGCCAGACAGGGATGAAAACTCCTTAAGGCCTTCCATAATGAGCTTAACAGTAGAGGCATCACCTCTGCTAAAGATCATGAGATCATCAGCGAAGCAAAGATTGATGATTTTTGTCTTCTCACGCTTCCAATGGAACTTAAAGAGAGGATGCTTTGCTTTCTCCGCCAAGATTTTGGCCAGGATTTCCATGGCCAAAACGAATAAGTAAGGGCACATAGGGTCACCTTGTCTTAAACCTCTAGCCCCTTTAAAATAGCCATGAAGGCTACCATTGATACAAATTGAAAAAGAAGGGCTAGTGATGCAGGCCTTGATCCAAGAAACCATGACAGGAGGAAAGGCCATAGCCTTGAGAATATCAAGAATAAAATCCCATCTCACACTATCATAAGCTTTCATGATATCCACCTTCATAGCACACTTCGGAGTAGGGGAATGCCTATGAAGATATTGTCAGAAATTCTCCTACCCTGAACAAAAGCTGACTGGACAGGGTCAATAAGATCAGGGAGAACAGATTTAATCCTGCTGGAAGGTGGTGTCCCCACACCCAATCTTATGCTTAATCAGAGGGGAAACCCACTTCCTAAGAGACAATAATTTCCGCCACACCCAAGAGGGATCATTAGGAACCTTAACTTTCCAGAAACTCTTCCCCTTTAATAAGTAGGATTTGACCCACTGACACCACATCGATCCCTCACCCCCAGAAAACAAAAACCAAATGTGTTTAGCTATGGCCGCTCTATTCCAAATATCTAAAGATTTAAAGCCCAAACCTCCCTCATTTTTCGGAGCACACACAGAATCCCAGGCAATTTTGGCACTATGAGTTTTAAGATCAGTACCAGACCAAAGGAAGGCTTTAAGAATACTATCAATCTCCCTAATGACCTTCTTGGGAAGAATGAAAAGGGAGGACCAGTACACTTGCATAGAAAAGAGAATGGATTGAATGAGCTGGCTTCTACCAGCGTAAGATAAAGCTCTATTGGTCCAACTCTTCACTCTTTTGGTGATCCTATCAATGAGAGGACCACGATCAGCAGCCCTCAACTTCGTGGTAATTAAGGGGACACCAAGGTACCAAACAGGAAGAGTCCCTTCATTAAACTTAGCAATCTCAAGAATAGAAGCTCTCAACTCCATATCACAACCAGAAAAGTAGATGTTACTTTTGCTGGGATTAGGAATTAGGCCAGACAAGGATGAAAACTCCTTAAGGCCTTCCATAATGAGCTTAACAGTAGAGGCATCACCCCTACTAAAGATCATAAGATCATCAGCGAAGCAAAGATTAATGATTTTAGTCTTGTCGCACTTCCAATGAAACTTAAAAAGAGGGTTCATAGCTTTCTCTGCCAAGATTTTGGCCAGGATTTCCATGGCCAAAACAAATAAGTACGGGGACATAGGGTCACCTTGTCTAAGACCTCTAGCTCCTTTAAAATAGCCATGAAGGCTACCATTGATACAAATTGAAAAGGAAGGGCTAGTGATGCAGGCCTTGATCCAAGAAACCATGACAGGAGGAAAGGCCATAGCCTTGAGAATATCAAGAATAAAATCCCATCTCACACTATCATAAGCTTTCATGATATCCACCTTCATAGCACACTTCGGAGTAGGGGAATGCCTGTGGTACCCCCTCATAAGCTCTTGAGATAGGAAGATATTGTCAGAAATTCTCCGACCTTGAACAAAAGCGGATTGAACAGGGTCAATAAGATCAGGGAGAACGGATTTAATCCTGTTAGCTATGATCTTGGCAATGCACTAATAGATGGTGTTGCAACAAGAAATGGGCCTGAAGTCACCCACTTTCGCAGGGTTGGGGACTTTGGGAATGAGAGCAATGATTGTGTTATTAACTTCAGACAGAAGCTTGCCTGACTCAAAGAACGTTCTAATGGCTTGGATAACATCTCTCCCAACAATAGCCCAGGATGTCTTAAAAAAACCCGCAGAGAAACCGTCAGGACCGGGAGCCTTATTGGTCTTAAGAGACCAAAAAGTATCCTTGGTCTCTTGGTCAGTCACAGGGCTAGCAAGCACAAGAGATTGATCAGGAGAAACACGGGTCTTAACCAGGGACTGAATTCTAGCAAAACCATGATACTAGTCATCAAACGGGGTACCAAATAAACCAGAGAAAAAGTTTGTGAATGCATTCTGGATGTCCTTTATTTTAGAAGATTTTTGGCCATCCATCAACTCCAGATTCAAAATCTTACCCCTATTGATATTACCCTTAATGGTTTTGAAGAAGAAGCTACTATTTCTATCCCCCTGACTAAGCCACTGGACACGAGATTTTTGGAGAGCCAAACTCTCTTCAACAGCCAGGAGGTCAACATGTTAAGTGATTTTTTATCCCTCACACTATTCTCAACCCTCATAACAAATGGAACAAACTCCTCATTTGGCTGCACAGTGATCCAAGCACCTATATCAATAACAAACATTAGGAAACCCCACAATGTATATGCTAAACCATCACTCAACCCACAATTTGTGAACTCTCATTTCTCACATCATCCGCCGCAAGCTTCAGCACAGTGTTGGGTAATCTCCATGAACTGAGATACCATCTGTCAGATTGGTGAGACTTCAAATTGGTAATATGCATTACCCTGAATCTAACCATATCCACAATACACTTTTAAATATTCACCCAAAAAAAAAACCATCACTCAACCCACAATTTGTGAACTCTCATTTCTCACATCATCCGCCGCAAGCTTCAGCACAGTGTTGGGTAATCTCCATGAACTGAGATACCATCTGTCAGATTGGTGTGACTTCAAATTGGTAATATGCATTACCCTGAATCTAACCATATCGACAATACACTTTATAACAACCTCTTCAGGGACCATATCCTTACTAAACACTCTATTATTCCTAGCAATCCACAACTGATACACAGTGCAAGTAAAAGCAAGCTTGGTAATAATGGTCCCTAAGGAATTCCCTTTAACAAATTTAGCAATGTGCTGGACTAAGTCACCCCAATGGATGGGAGGCCAATCAACATTTAGTTTACCCTTAATGCAAGACCACACCCTTTCCGAGAAAGGGCACTCAAAAAACAGGTGGTTGTGGTCTTCGTAAGGGCACTGGCAGAAAACACAAGCAGTATTTTGGGTTACACCAAAAATTTGCAACCTATCCCCTGTATTTAATCTACCAAGAAAAGCCATCCACACAACAAAGCTCACTTTTGGGATATTATGGGGACCCCAAATTAAATTAGACCAATTCACAGAATCAAAATGCTGTCTCAATTGGTTCCAAGTAGACTGAATAGTGAAATGGCCAGAAGTTGTAGGACACCAACTCACATCATCAGACACCCCATTGGGGAGGAATGTGGGAGGAGTATTATCAACAAGGTCCATAAGCTCCCAGGAAGATGGAAATGGCCATCTCCAACTGGTACCTTCCACAATCTCACTGACCTTCGCGTCTATACCAAGGGCAGAGTCATATACAATCCTAGCACCAAACTTGTCCCAAACAGACCCATAGGGTGCCAATTATCGAACCATAGAAAAATAGCAGAACCATCACCCATCCTATGCTTGATTAAGGGATAAATAATAGGTCTAAGAGACAAGATTTTCCTCCAAACCCAGGATGGGTCATTTGGCACCCTAACTTTCCAAAAACTTCTACCTTTAAGGATATAAGACTTCACCCAGATGCACCACATAGACTGCTCACCCCCACAGAAGAGGAACCATATATGCTTAGCAATGGCAGCCTTATTCCACACAGTGAGGGACTTAAAACCCAACCCCCCTTCCTTCTTAGGAGAACAAATTCTATCCCAAGACACCTTAGCCCCATACTTTTTTAACTCACAACCAGACCAAAAAAAAGCTCTAAACAAACTCTCAATGGATCTAATGACCTTCTTTGGAAGAATGAACAAAGATGTCCAGTAAACTTGCATAGAGAAAAGCACAGATTGGATCAGTTGAGCACGTCCAGCATAAGTGAGACACTTATTTGTCCAGCTCTTAATCCTTTTGGTGATTCTCTCCACAAGTTGATCACAATCAGTGGCCTTAAGTTTTGTGGATACCAAAGGGACCCCCAAATACCTCACAGGTAAAGTGCCCACACTAAAGTTACAAACCCCAAGGATCTCATCTCTAAGCTGAATAGGACATCCAAAAAAGAAAATATGACTCTTGTTAGGGCTAGGGGACAACCCAGACAGGCTTGTAAATTCATCTAAACCTTGTTTGATAGACTGGACAGTGAACACATCCCCTTTACAGAAGATCATCAAATCATCTGCAAAGCATAAGTTAACAATCCTGGTTTTGTCACATCTCCAATGAAATTTGAAAGCCGGATGTGATGCCTTCTCAGCCAGAATTCTAGAGAGAATTTCCATGACAATAACAAAGAGGTAAGGAGACATAGGATCACCTTGTCTCAACCCTCTTTCCCCCCTAAAATAACCATGCAGACTCCCATTTATGCAAATGGAATACGTGGGGCTAGTCATACAAGCTTTTATCCAATGGACAATATTACGGGGGAAACCCATCACAGTAACGACATGAAGAACAAAGTCCCATCTAACATTATCATAAGCCTTCATAATGTCCACCTTCATAGTACACCTGGGAGAGGAAGAAAATCTATGATAGCCCCTCATAAGTTCCTGAGAAAGGAAGATATTATCAGCAATCCTTCTACCAGGGACAAAAGCTGATTGGACAGGGTCGATGAGATCAGGAAGGACAACTTTAATCCTATCAGCAATGATCTTAGAGATACATTTGTACAAAGTGTTGCAACAAGAAATAGGTCTAAAATCACCAACTTTTTCAGCATTGGGGATCTTCGGAATCAAAGCAATGGTGGTGCTGTTTAATTCCCGAAGAAGCTCTCCCGAAGTAAAAAATGATCTAATAGCTTCAACAACCTCTCTCCCCACAATGTCCCAGGCTTTCAGAAAAAAAAAACCCGCAGAATACCCATCAGGACCAGGAGCTTTGTTAGCTTTTAGAGACTTAAAAGCAGCAATGATCTCAGTCTCCGTAACCTCCCTAGCAAGAATTTGATATTGAGTTTCAGACACTCTTTTGGTGATAAGGCTACTAATTCTAGCATACCCATTATGCTGGCCTTCAAAAGGTTTCCCAAACAAGTTAGTGAAGTAATCCACAAAAGAAGCATGAATCTCAGCACATTTAGTCACTCTATCCCCATTAGGGAGCACAACACTATTGATCTGCCCCTTGTTAACATTACCCTTAACAGTTCTAAAGAAGAACTTGGAGTTCCTATCACCTAACCCTAACCACTGGACACGAGATTTCTGATGGGCAAGACTCTCCTCAGCTTTAATAAGGTCAACATACTGCACATAAGCAGCCCTTTCCGCCTCCTGA